ATTAAAAAAAATTAAAAAAAAAAAAAAGAATCCTGAGGGCAGGTGGAGAGTGGAGTTGTGTTTCTGTCTCCGTTTTCTCCCCTGACCCCAGGATTCTATCATGGACCTGTGTCCCCTTCAAAGAGCCCAGCTCCTGCTACAAAGTCCTCTTTGCACAACTATTCTCTTGAAACTCCGAGAAATGCTGCTTTTTCTTTGCTTCAGGCAAAAGGGTGGTAAAAATTTTCTTCTATTTCTCTCTGGAGTGCTGAATCAAATCCTTGCTGGTTTCCCCAAACATTTTCCATACCTTATATAGTCTCTTTATTAAACCTTCCTTAGCTACTGAGTTTGAGGTAGTGATCTGTCCTACCTGAGGATCTGGGATTACTGGTTTAAGTGGAATCTATGCTCACCCTACTGCAAAGAAGGAGCTGGACAATGTTGCAACTCACCCAGTGCCCTAGGCATTGTTCACCTGTGTTTACAGAGCAGGAAGTTGATTGTGGTTTTCTTTATTGGGGGGTGGGGAGACTACAAGGGATTGAATTTAGGGACATTTGATCACTGAGCCATATCTCCAGCACTATTTTGTATTTCATTTTGGGCTCCCAGAGTTGCTTAGCACCTCAATTTTGCTGAGGCTGGCTTTAAATTTGCAATCCTCCTGCCTCAGCCTCCCGAGGTGCTGGGTTAACAGGTATGCACCAGCATGCCTGGCAATTGTGGTTTTCTTTAAGCTCATTTCAAAAGACTGCAGCTTTATGTTTGATCATGTGTCTTTCAGAATGCCCTGATTGAACCTAAAATGATGTTGTCACGCCCTGCCTTCATTTTTTTTTAGGAAAGAGCTTATCTTTGAGTTATCTTGGTATGGATAAAATAATTCATTAGTGCCACAAAACAACATTGATACAGTAGGGCCCTAAGCAGAGGTTCATTATAACCTTTAATCATCAAAGTCTATGCTTTCCTTGAGTTTTTAAAATATATATGCAATAGGTCATAGACAATATACTTCATATACAATAGGTCATGATTAGGCTGAATATTGACTAAACAGCATCCTCATTTGCCACTGTGAAGAGAGAAGGCTCCTGATTGGTCAGTTGATTGAATTCTGCCAGGCCATGGGCTCACACATATCAAAGCCACTTTGCATCTCAGCTAATTAGCTTCTATGGACATTGTTTGTAGGAAGTTGAAAAATTTTTTGAGTTTTTCTTGGTATCATATTTCAGATCATTTTATTTATGTAAACTCTTTTATAGAGACATATTGGATTTCCGAGGAATTCTTTCACCATTTTTTTATCCTCTTTATTGGTTTGTTTTCTGTCATGACCAATAGAGTCACTTGTCCCTACCCCCAAGCCAAAAATAATAAATTATGTTAATCATTACTGAGTGTTTCTGGGAATTATGTTCTCTTCCCTAGTGTGTGCATGCTCCTGGTTTGCATTGGGAAATTCCTTGGGATTCTTTTCACTAACATCCACATCTCTAGCTCTGATGTGATACACCCAAGAGAGTCTAGAGGACAAATGGATGCCTTGCCACTATCATCATTACTGTCCAGGGTGTAGAGGAAAACACTGGCTTGAAGTTCTCCAGCCTCTGAGAACTGAATGGGAAATGCCATGGTAAAGGCACATTCTTTAGGCGAAAGTGTTGCTCATGGTTCATAAGAACATCATAGGATTTCATCTGATGTACAAAGACATGAGTGTCAGGGGAGAGCATGAAGGTCAAGAGCTTTTCATCTCCGGGAATTATCATAACTACTAGTGTGCAACCCAGTAAGCAAGGACATTTAGGGCAAGAAGGAAAAAGTACTGACAATTGAGGGAGTGACTGACTGCTAGTTCAGAGGATAACTGGTTTCCCTGGAACTGAGCATCTCCTCCATCCCTGAATGATTTTTTTCTTTATCACCTTTAAATGGCCCAGCAAGGGCTATACAAAACCCCAAGCAAATACCCTGGCTTTCATCCCCCCCGATTCTTGATGCAGAAATTATTGGACAGGCAGCGGTGTATACTCTCAGCTCTGCAGAGGGAACACAGACCTCATGCTGGATGGCCAGTTCTTGTACCAAACCTAAAACACAAGGTCGCCCAGAATTTTCTGCTACCACCCTTAAATTTCCCAAACCCTAAGTCCTTTATACAAAAACTAAAAAGCATTTTGACTTAATAAATGTTCACATTGATGTGATTACTTATAATACAGTTTCTGGCACCTGCTAAACTTATGTTGTCTGAGTAAATTAAGAATAACATCAGATCCTATACTACATTTTGCAGAGAAGCAGTGAGAGTGGATGGGCTAGGAGCCAGAGACGGTGCTTACAGACTGATAGCTTATGTTTGAAAGGTGGCATTACCTTGAGAAAGTAGTTACATTTGACTTAACAACTTT